CATATGCGCCGTTGATCTGCTGCATGCTTTGCAAGCTTCATGAAATAGTTGTTCGTTTACATTTCACTCGATGCAGGGACGTTTACAACTCTATGGTAATGTACCCCTCTTGCAGTGTCGAAGATGGCTGCCAGTCGGGGTCAAGTTGGCAAAAGCGCTAAGCGTTGGACAATGCTTGCTGACCTGACCTTTGCTGGTAGACTACAATGAAGGTTGGCCACTTGTCAATGTTTGCCGTAAGATTAATAAGTTTGCGTTCCGGACGAACAGTTTTAATCAGCGCATGCAAGCTTTTGCAAGTTGGCTTCATGTTCCTAAACATCACGAGGTCAGTTTCATATGCCAAGCTTCGCTCGGAAGCCACTGCCCTGAATCTGGCCAGTTCTTCAAAGTTTGTCCATCAGCCCGTTCTACTGCCCAGGCATAGTCGTGTGTGCATCCGGTGGCTGGCCGCGATCGGTATTTTCGTTGTCTCCGGCTCACGTCGCTCATACAGTCGTTCGTTCATGCGTTCGAAGTTGGTCGACAGTGACACGAAAGATATGATACGTTGCCATCCTCATACGTTTTGAAATCGATACGCTGGCCCGTCATTCGATATTCGCAACTACCAAACATGACCGTTCGGCGTAAATCATATTTGTTTCCTAAGCGGCTGCGTTCCACAGCTAATTGGAAAAGTATTCAATAAATGCCGTCATCTCATATTGCCATATCCCTTTTCTAAGTGATGAGTCATAATTGTGTAATTACGCATCTGTCGGTTGGCCGGTGCATTGGTTTTCAGGAATCGAGCGACCGACGTTTCGGCTATTTAGCTGAAGTTTATTGAGAAGCGCATGATTTCAAACGGTTCGTCGTCGTAACTCGAACATCACCCGCCGCCTGTGTGTGATCATTGACCGATGGCGATTGCTATGACGGTTTTGGTGCAGGCGAAGAAGCGTAACGGCAGAGAGGTCGGCTAACAGGCATGCTTTCGCAGGGGGAATCTTGCTGTCGTACAACGCTGTCCAGTCATTTTGAAGAGCACGTGCTCTTCTTTCTTATTGATGTATACGTTGTTTTTCAGTTGCACGTTGCATGACTGAGCAGCAGAACAGAGCAAGGGCCGGCGGGGAAACGCCGATGGCACAAGTCTCGCTCGCATGCCGGTGTTGTAGCACTCACTCACTTTTGTTCGGCTCGAGTTAAATCGACGACTCCCCTCATCCCGATTATCCGATCCAGACAGTCAGCATACAACCATTTGCTCCCATGTTTGACATCGAATCGCTCAGGAGATGTAGTTCATGTGTATCCTTGCGACCTCACCCTCCTCCCTCCATTTCTGTGTTCCGGGAATGAAGGTGTAAAACCGCACCAAACTAAGCTGAGATCATCGTTGCTCGTTCCTCAAGCGACCAGTCGTACAGACAGGCCAGCAGGCAATTTTCCCCAAACGATGAGCTAGTCGCAATTGCGGAGACTTCATTCGGCGAAAACTCCCATCGCTTATTATCGCTTGGAAAATGGAAATTAGAACAGTTTTTTGCCAAGTTTTGCGCATATGCAAAAACATTCGATTTCGGATTAGCCGATTTCTACTAATAACTTGCTTCTCAGCATGCGAAACAAGCCGCCATTGTGCATTTCGGATTTGCAAACGCGCTTGCATCGATCACGTTTTTTCACCTACTTAATCGATCCGGTTATTAATCTTCAATTTGCGTTGTTTAGAGATCGTCGAAAACGTGACCACCACCACAGATCGTGAACGCTCCGGAAGACACATTGACAATTTCATCTGTGGATGTTGCTGCGCAGAATTCTACAGTATGCCGGCTTTTCTGGTTCACAAGAAAGAGTGCACCAAGGAGTGGCCGGTATTAGTGTCTCGCAGAAATGGAGGTGAAACTGCAGCCGGAAGCGGAAGCGGAAGTCTGTCACAGATCGACGAGCAGGGTCAACGCCAGCAACAGCAGCAGCAGTGTGTGGTGCAACGCGGAGGCACATCCACGGAATCGGATGTGTCCGTTGTCGGTCGGGATCACAGTGCTTGGTGTTGGGCCGCCTTTGCAGCTGAAGAAGCGCCATACACTGCCACCTGCCAGGCGAACCAGTCGCCGAACGTTGTGCAGATCCAGTTAGCCCTGGCTTCTCTGCAGCAACAGCAGATGCAGCAGCTGAAGCTGATCCAGAACATTTACCGCCAGCTCCTGGGTGATAGCGCGAGCGTGTTCGTGCCGCAAAGCGGCGAAGCGAAGGACGACTCCGCGAACAGATTCACCGCCGCTAAAGAGTTCGGTACGACCAGTAGCGACACCGCTATGGACACCTCCGGTCCTGTGGCCGTCACCTCACCATGGGCAATTAACGGTGTGGAGTACTATGGTCAGCAGGCGATTACATCTTCGCAGCCGCGGTCAAACTGTCGGTCGGTCGGACTGGCCAGTGGCCGAGACAGAAGGAAAGTCAGTGCCTCGTTGGAGAAGTTGTACAACATCAAGCACAATGGTTGTCTGAAGATGTTCAACCATAACCAGAAGAACGCACAGCACTCTGACGT